CTTGACTGATAAATTTCATCAAAATATCATTCCTTATTCACATTTGATCCGAGATTGTTTTGCATGGTGCACCATAGTCTCGAGAATATTTTAGTGGTAATAAAATAAAGGTATCTAATTGCGGACCGAGAAATTCTCAATGAAGTTGATTTTGAGATTGAGGTTCTTACGTCTCTAAATTTTCAAGTTATCATACAGTTATCTGAAGTATTTCATTTTCGGTGGAATAAATTAATTTCATTTAAGTGAAATACAATTTATCATCCTTCCTCAGGGTCTACTTTACAGAAGTTTATCTATGAATTTGATTTCCTTATTTTTCAACACCTTTCTAGACTATATTTGTAAGTACAGCTGCTGTCCTTTCTCATTTGTGTTTGATTCTCCTATGAAAATGTTCATCGTTCACATATTATGAAAATAAATTATTTTACCTTTAAAGTTTAACATTCACTGAAGAGATATCTATTGAATGGTTTGGTTTCAGCGCTGTTTTAGATGAAGCCATCTATTTTTCTTTGTATTCATTTCGTTATTACTTTAGTTTGTGCACCATATTAGCATGTCTACTTCCGACTGAACTTAAAGTTTAGTTTCTGCACTAAAATGAAGAAATGAAATCGAAGACTAAATATGTGTCCATACCGTGAATGTTAAGAATTCCCTGGAATGATTTGAGCACTGAGTCAGAGTGAATCAATACAAATTATTTGAAATAGTCTCAGTGTGTCTAAGAAAAGTCAAAACAAAGCTTCTCGGAACGTTTCACTGTGTAGGCCATAGCTGCTAAAGCAAAATCATTCGAAGTTTATTTACCATCAAAATATATAGTCAAAACATTACATACATTTAAGCTCACGTGTTGATAGACATATGTACTAACAAAAAACTGTGAACATTCGTCATGTATTTGTTATGCCTAATGTCAGACCGCCACATATGGGAAGTCTTGACTAGTGTAGTACAAGAGAACGTGTGTCATGACACTTAGCAGCCGATGGCATTAACTAACAAATGCGGTATACTGTGGATTGGTTGGAGACAGAGCTCACTGTCCACTGGATAGTGTACGAGTGACTCGTCTTGTAAAAGGAAATTCTAACATTAGAACCTTTTTCAGTGCGTACTACTGAAGTGGTCCAAACTACGACGAAAGAGCTTTTCGTTGGCCACTGGTTTTCCAACGTATCTTTAACATATGTTAGCCCATGATGCAAATCCTGTAACCGGCCAAATTCCTGCGAATCAACGTTTGAACGCTTTTGCATTTTGTCTCTGCTGTTTTGTGTTGCCATACGGATGAAAAGTCTATCCCTTCTCTCCTAATTTGTTTCATTCGATGTGGTTAAAATATGCAAAGCTTCAGAGACTAGTCTTTCCCTATGTGAATGAAAGCTTCTTCCTTGAATTTCGATGTTTTCGAAATCAACTTGAAGTCCATTGTCTATAGCATGGGTTGTTATGGCTGATTTCATTTCGAGATTTTAGTTCTACTGCATTTTTATGAGGGCGTTTCGTGCACAGTACGTGTGCATTCACTGTAACATTCACTTGTGTACTGGTTTTCCCTATATTGCAAGCCTCATATTCTGAACACTATCTTATGAACACAGATGGCTCGTGTCATTTTAGGAAACATTACTGTTACATCTAGCAAAGCTCTCTTATTGAATAATCCAATTGGAAATAAAAATATTTGTTTGAAAGTACCCGTCTCCCAAAAATGTGAACTTTAGTTTGTCGTGAGTTTGCTTTAACAAGACAGTCCAGAGAGTTAAGTGTTCTCTCGCTCAGTTTGACTTCATTAGTTATTTATTTATTTCCCTTACGTTCCCAGTGGAACATGGCTCAAAGCTGGATGCGTGAAGTTTCTGTAGCAGTTTTTATTTTTACAGGATCGGGTTGCTAGTCTTATGTCCAACCTTCCCTCTTTACCAGTGTTATTACTGGCTAAGTGAGGTAAAGGAGTGCGTCAGCCGGTGATCGAACCACGGACCATCGCATGGTTGGCGAGTATACTAACCGCTGTGCCACTGACGCACAACTTCATTAGTAACCTATATATATTTTGAGAATGAGTTCATGTGTTGTAGAAAGTTTCCGTTTTCAGCTTTCTTAATAAATAAAAAATGTGTCATTCACATATTTGTACTATAAACTTATGAATGTATTAAAACATATATAATATATATATATATATAATATTATATATAATGTTATACATAATACATATGTATATATATTCTAGGATGACATAAGTCTTGTCAGTACGTTTCCTTCTACACTTTTCATACGAAGACCTGCCACAGACAAAGATATTGAGAGTATATTTTGTCTTTAAGCGAGAGTAAGTGGGTTCTAAACAAAGTTTTAGGCATTCTACAATTGTTCTCTTGCTTTGTGTGCTACATGGAGTGTGGCGACTTGAACTGCCGCACATTTGTGGAAAGTTCTATGTCGAAAACAGACAGAGAGACAGACAGACAATTGTACCGAAGAAGCTATGGCCTACAAAACACGTTTATTTTATTAAGTCATAATGAAGGCTAAGCAATTCTTCATATGTATTTTTGAGATAATTGTTTTAAATATGCCTGTGCTTGAGAAATCTTTTCACACACAGAAAAATGAAATGTGAAAATAAAGTGTTAGCAGATGATGTCATTAATTTCAATAAGACACTTAGACAAACAAATAAGGGTTGACTAAATGCAATGTTACACATGAGTAAATAATTAACTAATCATGCATGATATATGGTGAAATAATTTGAAGTTTTAAAAGGTGATATGAATGTACACCCTCTTAAATCCTCAATCTTGTCGCCAGTATCCTTAGTTTCCACACTACCTTCAATCACGAAATTTCAGTAGTGCAGAAATTTACAAAGAGTCTTCTGTTTTCAGTCATTTCGCTGATATCATCTCTGATCATGATGAGTTCTCTCCCAGTGTTGTTTGATCATGGTTTTGCTTGCGTTGATAACACCAGCAGAAATTCAATATATACATCTGTCTGTTTTATTGTTCACAGTTACCTGTTAGAGTTTCTGTTATTCTCTTGATATGTGTTGTTAGTGGTTGTGTAGCATTGTATAATTGTAACTTTTCTCCTTGTTCAGCCAAAATTATATTGCATGGAAGATTTCATCATGAGCTGACATCAGTTAGAGAACCACTGGAAAACCTGGGAGTGTTCGACTGCTGTTTCATCCTAGTTTGGGACTCTTCAGCAGTATGAGCCCACAGGGATTCGATCTCAGGACCTTCTGGTTACAAGGCGAGCCGGTAGAACATTGAACCACCGGGACTCGATCTAATGGTCCTTGAATTCTAACTTCTGCAATTCGCGACAAAGCATTACCATTTCGCAATGTCTTCTTCGATGATTTACTGCCTCATCTTCAACCTTCTGTGCCTTACCGTTCACGGTATCACACTAGAACCTCAGGTCACTGCCTAGATAGGACCAGTCGCTAGTGAGCATCAGAATAATTTTCAAGTATTGGTTTCGTAGGGATTTTTGTTTGATTGCTAGGAGGATTTCATCATGAGCTCACAACAGTTTGCAAAACCATGTTGTCATGTTTTCAAAGGAGATTGTTTGTCAGTGCTTGGGGCTCACAGCCAACCATGTCTCCTTTTCTGATGTAAGATAGGATAGGAAACTAGTTAACAAGGTTGCGTTTATCAAATCCCGCATTGCTGCAAAGTTATTACTTTAGTAGGTTTTTATCAGGAGAACTAATGGTGAATGTGAATATATTGTTCACTTCTCTAACGAATTTCACTGCCGATAATTTCAGGCATTTATTTTAATGTTACATATACTTTTGTACAATACAGATACATCTCAAGTTCGTAAGTAACGTTTTTGCATTCACATAAACTGTCAAAACCGTTATCTATCTGTTGAGTTAGACTGACATATGTTCAATTAGAATCCTTTTAACTTTATAAAGTCTTTGATTCTTGTTTGGCAAAGACCTGATGGCTTTAAATACTTATCATCCAGGTTATTTTATTGAAGATAAATTTTGATGAGAATCGAAATTCGTAATTACGCGATTCCTATAAATGTTATAATAAATGTTCATAAGTACTTCGCCGAAAGAGGAATGATTGGTCACTTCCTGGTTAAAAATCGTTTCAGAGGAATTTCGTTTGACATTACTTATTCACTACATTCTGATTTTTCTTCGATTTTTTGCAGAATCCACAGTTCATTTATTTTGGTGGCTGCATGTCATTTCTAGAGTCAGATAGATGTTCCCTTTGCATGATTTAAAAGTTTTCTAAATTTAATCAACTTAACAAAGGATTTATGTATTTACCCTACGAAATGCACTACATAATGACTACACTGTTATAGTGAGGCGGCCTGCTTAAAACTTGGGCGACCAAAAACTCCCTATTGCTTATATTTTCTCTCATTCACTTTTTTTTAATCGATTAAGATATGACCTCTAATGGTATCTTGTCTTGAGTGTGTTAAAAAGTTTACAAGCTTCTGATTCGCAATTACCTGCTAAACTTGAGAAAGGGCCGAATTGTCGGTAACTGTGTGTTCCAATGCATGAGATAACTATTCCTTAGTTTAGTCCATGAGTCACAAAATATACTTCTGAACTTCTTACAACTGGCTTTTAACTAGATGTTGGCGATTTCTTGAAGGCGACAAAGCAGAAATATCATAATGAGATGGTTTGTGCTTAAGCTCAAAAGGAATTGTGTCACACGCTATATTGTCAGTCAATATTTTACTTGAGGATATTGTACGAAGAGAAAATATCATGCAGTAAACTCCTCTGAAAATTCTGTACATTATATAAGCACTGTCCAGAATAAAACTGTTGTGATTATTTAAGTGTGAAGACACACAAACTAGAATGATTTTCATGCTGAAAAGTAACCCAGTTTATCAGTGTTGAGATATAATCGGTCTTCTCTGCAGATGGTTATTTTCACCGTATTTTAAACCCAATTTCTATCGATCGTAAGTACGTAAGTCCATAGAACCAAATGTCTTTATATGCTTTTATGCCAACACTATTCATTTGTGTTATGTGATGACCGTTTATTTTATTTAAGTAACTGAATACAAGACTGTGACTTTGAAAAATTCGATTATCTTACAAGTTAAGAGAGGTCAAGAGGTAAACTGATGTCTCATTTGGATAATCCACGAGTACAATGAGTGTATCATCATTAACTACATTTGACTTTCTTTCTTGCAAATAGTGAAGTAACGATGAACCCTGTTGAAAATTTACAAACGCACGAATATTTTATGTGAAGACATGAGAATTAAACTTCATTTTGTTTCAATTTAACAACATGAATCGAAGGATCCTGTTTAATAAGTCGTTTTCTTACAATTTCATTACGAAATCAAACAAATTCTGTTGTGCACGGTTTACATGTTGTCATTTACTAGTATTAACTGCCAATAAATGTTTTTATAATTCGAAAGCGGAAAATTTTGAAAGACGTAAGTACTTTTGTTACCTTCAGCATATTAGGCTGAGACTGCTGTTATAAATATGGTAACAAAAAATATTGAAAATCTTGAAAGCGTGATGACTTAAGTTGAACTGACTCTCAGTGCACAGTAAAGGTAGAATATTTCAATTTATATTGTCCAAATTTAAAGAGTAGAGGAATGTAAAAATACAATATCATTATTGGAGAAATACATGGCATATTTTCAAATGATTTAGTCACTGTAGATGCAGTTTACAAGGACGATTTCAGTTGAAATATAACTGCCTTATACTACACAAATGAATATATTTTTGATAACTTATGTGTATCTACATAGTTATGAGGATCATAAAACAATGTAAGTCATTTGTCGTACATTTGTGAATAACTACTAATGCTCAATCTCAGGTTATTCAGATATGATGTCACTGGTGATAAATTTACACCTTCCGGTTGATGGTGAATCGTACACATGGGAATTGTGATTTTCGGTGTTTCATTATTAATTTTATATATGCATGTTCTTCTATCATTCCGAAGATTTAGCAATAAAAGCACGGTGGTAGTTTGAAAACACTGATAGTTATCATGATTAAGTAGGGGAAGTCTATATGGCATAATTAAGGCGATTCAAAGTATTACACCAAATTTTTTTAATTATTTCGAATGACACATCTAGGTGGAAATTCATGTAAGTATAGTGACAGTAATGCATTTAGATGTTAGAAAATTAATGCGGCAACTGAACGGTATAAATAATTGTGAAATTTAAAAAAATGTCTAAATGATGCATCCTATCTTAGAGACAAACAATAGGAATTACTTTTGAAAAAAGAGTAGTGATAAAGTTGGTAGAATGACGAGATAGTCAAGATACCAGTAACTTGTAAATAATTTAGGAGGATAGGATCTCATCAGAGTATCACATTAACGGAATGATGGTTTGAGCAAGACAGTTGGCTGTGCTACCTTTTTTCTGAAAATACAGGTTTAACTACCTCAGACAAACTCTGATGCCTTCAACTATGTGTAGTAAACGAACCTATAAAGCAAAATTAAAATTAATCGAGAAAAAGTAGGTAATGTTAAAATAGTTCAGTATCTGTGAGGGATGCCATAGATAGCTACGCATGGACCATGTTAGATTTCAGCGATGAATAGTGCTTTGTGTAACCGTGACGAGCTGTACATGAGTTGCGTGACAGTATGAAACGTGTGATCCAACCGGAATTATTTAATTTATCCTTATTTCTAGGAAGAAAAATTGCAGCAGTTTTGAAGAGAGAGCGTACCTCTGCTGCAGTGAATTCTGTTTAAAACGCGTTCCTTGGATATTGTGTTGCTATTTCGCAGATGTTATCCTTAAGAAACTGTAGATTTGGGAATAAGGACTTATTGTGGGCTGTTGACATGTTAGCTTGCCTCGACAGCGAATTCGTATTTTTACGAAAAAAAACATTTCTGGATAACCATCTTACTAAACGGTTCTCAAATAAGTTGGAACTTGTAATTGACAGTCTTTAAAGATGATTCATCTATCATTGAAACTGAAGTGCGTTTATACTTAGTGGGTATAAATCCCATAAGATGGGTAAACTCATCTTTATACCTAGTCCGTTCTATTGTATCATTCTCTTTCCTTATCATAAGGTCATCTAAGAATGAAATTTGTTATTTATTTTCCATTCAGTATCACGATTTTATAAAGAATGCAGATCAATAAATTTGACGAAGATGATATATTTTGATTGGACACTAGTAACTAGTGCGATGTGTCTAGTCCTTTCTTTGGTCCATTCCAACTATACAATATAATCGATGATGTATTATCAATATAACTGAGATAGAATTCCAGTTTACTAGTTACATCTTTCAAACACTCACCAACGCATATTCAGCTGTCAAAAATTCAGACAGAATTGTTCTTGTGGATGGTGTTGTAGTCACGCTATCAGCAAGTATGGCGATCAGATTTCTATTTGAGAAGTGAACATTCATTGGGTATTTTACAAGAATTTCTTTCATGGAGCATAAAGAAATATTAACACGGATGTTTAGTCAAATAACTTTTTCCCATATAAAATTAGTTGCTTTCATCAGCTGTACATTGGTAAATAAGAAAGTTATGGTTTTATTGTTCCCGTATGAATCTTTATCGCCCATACAGAAGTTGGGTGGTTCTGGTGGATGATTTACAATTAGTTGTGTTCTATGAGCTGGTTGGTTTAATTGTGGAGCTTTTTTCGTCCTTCTGGACAACATCGTCAGCGCAATTTTCAGCATAAAATGAACTGATATAAATTCTCCATGAATGATATAATTACGTCTCCTGCTTACCATCTTCGTGACTGGTAGTCGATTTACATTTCGTTTGGTCATTTTTTATTTACTTTACAATTTACTTTACAATTCAATAAAATGATCAAAACAAATGTAAATCGACTACAAGTCACGAAGATGATAATCAGGACACGCAATTCTAACATTCATGGACAATTAAATTCAGTTCACTTCATGCTAAAACTTGCGATGAAGATGTTGTCCAGAAGGATGACGAAAGGTCCGCAGTTAAATCAATCAGCTCAGAGAACACAACTATTTGCATATACTAACTTTTTATTACACTTTTTGTATTGATTCAGTTTACCATTCCTCAGTCTTTGTCACTTGTCTAAAAGAAGTTGAAATTTTTGGAATTTCCGATGGACACCAATAATGCCAGTTATCTCATTCAAATAACCCGCATCGTTCACAATTATTTTTTTCACAGCAAAAATAGACCAAAGATGTATTAAGTCATTCAGTCACCTTGAGCAGCAATCTTCGTATGTTTGGCATGCGATTCGCCCCTGCAAAATGTAAGATGCTGCTACAGGACTGGACGACGTCAACCCCTAACTTAGTGATAGGGAGTGAAGTGATAGAACATGTTGACCACTTCACCTACTTGGGAAGTTGTATCAGCACCAACGGACTGATTGGCGATGAAATCTCAGCACGGATCCGAAAAGCTCGAGCTGCTTTCGCTGACTTACACCATCTCTGGCGTAGGCGTGACATCCGGTTATCAACCAAGGGACGTGTGTACTGCTCATCAGTTCGCTCCGTCCTTCTCTATGGCTCTGAAACATGGCCAATACGCGCTGAAGACATGAAAAGGTTGACTGCTTTCGATCATAGATGTCTGCGATCTCTGTCTCACGTTAGGTGGTTTCACAAGATAAGTAATGTTGACGTTAGGCGTAGAGTGTTGGGCAAAGAGGGAAAATCAATCGACGAGGCTATAAAGTTACTTAGACTAAGATGGCTAGGTCACGTGGTGCGCATGCCTAACCACCGCCTCCCCCGACGGGCATTGTTAGCTGATATAGGTTCAGTTTGGAAAAGAGCCAGTGGTGGCCAAACAAAAACATGGCATCAATCCATGAAATCCTTGACAGTTAAACTGAGTCAGGTAGGGAGATGCAGACTCCCGGGTTGGGGCCCTCGGGACTCTAGGAATCAATGGCTGGAGACAATAGGTGACATGGCTCAAAATCGTTGTCAATGGCGCAGATGTATTCAATCTCTGTAATCTTTCATATTCCTTTCTACCATTACCCATTCTGTTTCACTCTTATATTTGCCAAACTCTGTTAATTCTCTTAACTCATCTTCTTGTCTACCTCTGTGAGCTATTTGGAAGGTGGCAACTCGAACTGCTGCACTTCGGTGCCAAGTTCTATGTTGAATCCAGACAGACAGACAGAGGTTCTCTAACTGATATCAATCCGTGATCAACTCGTAAAACATAACTAATCCTTACAAACCAAAACTATAGAAAGTTAATCTGATGCTCGCTAGTGACTTGCTACAGGTTGGAGTTTCCTGAGTTCTAGTGAGAAGTCGTGACCAGTGAGGTCCAATTAGATGTCACGTGTGTGGATGGATGTCCCACCAACGACAATGGTTGGGGTCGCGCTAAATCACGAATTGGTAGAAGTTAGAATTCACGAGCCATTGAATCGGGTCCCAGTGGCTGAATGGTATACGAGCTTGCCTTGTAACCGGAAGGACCTGGGTTCGAAACACAGTGGGTGCGTACTGCCGATGATTCCCAAACTAAGATGAAACAGCAGCTGTCCAGTACTCCCTGGTTTTCAATGGTTCTCTAACTGATATCAATCCGTGATCAACTCGTAAAACATAACTAATCCTTACAAACCAAAACTATAGAAAGTTAATCTGATGCTCGCTAGTGACTTGCTACAGGTTGGAGTTTCCTGAGTTCTAGTGAGAAGTCGTGACCAGTGAGGTCCAATTAGATGTCACGTGTGTGGATGGATGTCCCACCAACGACAATGGTTGGGGTCGCGCTAAATCACGAATTGGTAGAAGTTAGAATTCACGAGCCATTGAATCGGGTCCCAGTGGCTGAATGGTATACGAGCTTGCCTTGTAACCGGAAGGACCTGGGTTCGAAACCCAGTGGGTGCGTACTGCCGATGATTCCCAAACTAAGATGAAACAGCAGCTGTCCAGTACTCCCTGGTTTTCAATGGTTCTCTAACTGATATCAATCCGTGATCAACTCGTAAAACATAACTAATCCTTACAAACCAAAACTATAGAAAGTTAATCTGATGCTCGCTAGTGACTTGCTACAGGTTGGAGTTTCCTGAGTTCTAGTGAGAAGTCGTGACCAGTGAGGTCCAATTAGATGTCACGTGTGTGGATGGATGTCCCACCAACGACAATGGTTGGGGTCGCGCTAAATCACGAATTGGTAGAAGTTAGAATTCACGAGCCATTGAATCGGGTCCCAGTGGCTGAATGGTATACGAGCTTGCCTTGTAACCGGAAGGACCTGGGTTCGAAACACAGTGGGTGCGTACTGTCGATGATTCCCAAACTAAGATGAAACAGCAGCTGTCCAGTACTCCCTGGTTTTCAATGGTTCTCTAACTGATATCAATCCGTGATCAACTCGTAAAACATAACTAATCCTTACAAACCAAAACTATAGAAAGTTAATCTGATGCTCGCTAGTGACTTGCTACAGGTTGGAGTTTCCTGAGTTCTAGTGAGAAGTCGTGACCAGTGAGGTCCAATTAGATGTCACGTGTGTGGATGGATGTCCCACCAACGACAATGGTTGGGGTCGCGCTAAATCACGAATTGGTAGAAGTTAGAATTCACGAGCCATTGAATCGGGTCC